CATGGCTGTGTCCGATGCGCGTCATTTTATGACACACATGTACGACCTCAGAACATCGAAAACTCACTCTCCTGTCAGGCGACCTCTATATTAGAGATAGTGCGCAATTTTAACTACGCCATAAAATCTACAACTGGCCCTAACCCAAACTCCATTCGCCACAAAATGAACCTACGCCCCACGAGACAGTGCATTCTATATGCCGAAGTTGCAGACTTGTAAACATTTTTCGGTGGACCGCACGCAATCTATCGCTGCAGACTCGGTACTCTACCCTCTGCAATTAACTCATTTCCTACGCAAAATCCTAGACAGCTGCCATTTATCCACTAACAAACACTAATACTATATACTAAGCCGCTCAGAAAAGCCACTGCAATACACCGAGTACCTGTCCGCACCACAAAATATACACAGAGAGACAATCGACACCCCTGCCACTTACACTTGACCGCCTTTGACCCATGACTTTACTTTTTTTAGTATGTTGATTATGTAAATATCATAGCCTATTAGTGGGGATGGGTGTTATAAACAACCACTGGCAAGACATCAACGTGGCTGCTTCGGGTTACGCCAGTTAAGTGATTTTTTTAAATTCTTGTGGCTTTATTTAAAGTTTAATTTTGTGCTGACGAAGGCTCTATTGCCGCAACGTTCACGTTTTGTTTGTTATATTGTGAAGCTCGCTAATCTACTTTTTGTTCGGTTTCATGACTAAACAAGCAACGAGTCGTCAGTCTTTTTTGAAAATCTGGCAATCTTAGCGAGTGGTCTATTCCTGGCAATGTAAGCGTTGACAACACCAAACACATTGTTTGGTCACGTGATTGTTTTTCTAACGGCCCAACGGTGTTGTCACTTAAGCAGGCATATTTATGGCTTAAAACCTGGCTGTTGTCAGGGCGGACTATGCCTGAAGTGACAAGAGTAATGTAGGAGAGGCCATGGGAGGCACAAACAAATGTAACATAGACAACATGAGGAAACAGTCAACATTCTTTCGTCTGGAACACATGGGGACATAGATGATAATTTATTGTTCAACAACTGGAAAGACTGATATACAACGAGACAGAGGATGACAGGGAGAAAGAGAAACAATGCATTCTTAGAGGTCAGAAAGAGTTTCACGTGATGTCAAGAAATAAACAACCGAAATAAGGAGATTGCGTTGAAGCTTTACAAATGTTACACAGATAAGTAAATGTCAGGAAGAGAAGAGGTGGGTGCCAAGACTAAAGTAGTCCAGATAAGTATTACATACTTTAGATAGTTGTGTTTTGTTACTTATTAATACATTGTCTCTACCGTCGTCATCACATTTTAACATGTTCACTTCACAGTCAATTTTTATTTTTGTGTTCTATTTCTTGTCGTTTTGTTGAATTAGGCTGATCACTGTTACGCCTTCCGTTGGATCATTGAAATTGGTTTTCTAAAGCGGACACATACGTTGATGTTTTTGTGTGTGTGTGTGTGTGTCAGAAGAAATAAAAAGGAAAAAGGTAAAACAGTTCGATGGTCATGGACAAAATGTCCCATCCATTTTAGTCTAGGCTTTGAGTGTATGTGTGTGTGTGTGTGTGTTTTATATATATATATATATATATATATATATATATATATATATATATATATATATATATACACATATATATGGTGAATTTAAGACAGGAAGAAGATGTCGAGGCCGACCTCTACTATGTTATAAAGATGTATGCAAGAGGAGCATAAATGATACGGGTATTGAAGCGGACTCATGGGAACAAAATGCCATGGACCGTGTTGTGTGGAAAGGGCATATCAGGAAGGGAATAAGACTGAAGGAAGGAATGACTGCAGAAAGGATGAGAGCTGAGCGTCTGAAAAGAAACGGATTAAACACAAATGTTGTTAACAATGGTCCTGAAATCCAATGCTATCATTGTGGAAGACTTTTCTTGACACGGGCGGGTCTTGCTAGTCATACTCGCCATCGCCATGGGCTATGAGTCTCATGCCTCCTCATAGCACAATATAGCACTATCGTCTGGAAAGACGGAAAGGACATACACACACATATGTATCTAAAATAAAGGATGGTAGATCTAAAGTAGACATGTCTGTTAGAATGTAAAAGGTTCAGGCTTCAATCAATAAAGAACCCCTTTCCACGCCTTCATGGCCTTATTGGGCATATAGGAGTAGACCTACATTTTACAGACTAATCGGCACTTTGACATCACGCCTTTACTTCACAGGACGGCACCTAGTACCCCGTCAAGGCTGGGCCGACCTGAGAGCTAAAGTTATTTTTAAAAAAAAGGCTTACTTAGGATCCTGACCTACGACCTTCCGATCCGCAGGCGAGCACCTAGTCGCTACACCACGGCGATTCCCAATAATAATTCACCCAGGCTGAAGTCTTATATCGCTAGACAGAACTAGTTAAGTCATTCTTTCTCCCTGTCGCTGTATCTGTCTCTGTCTGTCTGTCTGTCTGTCTGTCTGTCTGTCTGTCTGTCTGTCTGTCTGTGTGTCTGTGGGTCTGTGTATCTGTGTGTCTGTATGTCTGTGTGTCTGTGTGTCTGTTTGTCTGTGTGTGTGTGTGTATGTGTGTGTGTATGTGTATGTATGTGTATATGTGTATGTGTGTGTGTATGTGTGTGTATGTGTGTATGTCTGTATGTCTGTCTGTCTGTCTGTCTGTCTGTCTGACTGTCTGTCTGTCTGTATGTATGTATGTGTGTATGTGTGTATGTGCGTGTGTGTGTGTGTGTGCATGCGTGCGTGCGTTTGTGCGTGCGTGTGTGCGTGTCTGTCTGTCTGTCTGTCTGTCTGTCTGTCTGTCTGTCTGTCTGTGTATGTATGTATGTGAGAGTGTGTGTATGGATATGGGTATGTATTCATGAGTTTGAGTTGGTGGGCCATGTATGTGAGTATGTGAGTGTGTGTGTATGGATGTGGGTGTGTATATATGCGTGTTTAAGTGAGTTGGTAGGCGCGTGTATGTGGGTGTGTGTTTTGTGCTAGCAAGTATGTGCATGCATTTTACCACCGATGCTTTTGTCTGTCTTTCTTTCTCTCCCTTTCTCTCTCTCTCTCTCTCTCTCTCTCTCTCTCTCTCTCTCTCTCTCTCTCTCTCTCTTTCTCTCTCTTTCTCTCGTTGTCCTGCTATCTACCTGGTCTGTCTGCCTCTGTGACTGTAGACCCGTTTTTTAAATCTATTTTATGTGACCAAATGTTCTAGTGTTCTTACCTCAGCCAGATCTTTCTTTTGCTTATCTGAATGTTAATTACCGAAGTTCGCCTGCCCGCATATCCATCCTACCATTGTCTGTCTGTACACAAGGCCTCTGGGCCTGTCAGCACATCCTTTACTGTGATCATACCTGTGTCCGTAAGCTCCGTCTGCACGTCGATCAGCTCCGTCTGCACGTCGATCAGCTCCGTCTGCACGTCGATCAGCTCCGTCTGCACGTCGATCAGCTCCGTCTGCACGTCGATCAGCTGGTGGGCTTGTTTATCTAGTTCACTGACTTTTTTTTTTAAACAGATAATGAAATGAAAGAAAAATGTTATTGTTAGCAATACAATTGTGACGCAATGTTACTTAGCAACGCAGTGATACATTCAACACACTGCTCTAGATGTTAATCTAGAGAAGCCGAAACCTGGGGCCTTGGGTCCTTTGAGCGCCCCTCCCCAAAATGTAATTGGGGTGGGGTGGAAAAGGGGGGGGGGGGTTAGAGGAGGTGAAAACTCAGAGCTTCAGTTCACGCCTCTCTCCACCCCTCCCGCCATGAAAATGTTTAAACTGTCCCCCTCCCCCTCCTCCTTTCCCCCCGCTCCGCTTTGCTTCTCACCCCGCCATTGCAACAACAACAAAAAGTGTTGGTATAGCTGGTCCAAATGGTGGCAATGTTCATAAATTACCCTTGTTATCCATTACAGGTGTGAGGACAACAGGACTTACCTCGAGAAATACGGAAAACAGCGAGGAGCACACAACCCTGGCTTGTGCTGAAATGAGTTAGCTGGATAGAGGGATAGAGCTAAGGGGAGTCACGTATAGCCCTCGACACATTCCCATAAGTGCCCCGACCTAATCTTCAACAGGCAGGGAAGAGTTACCACACGGATGGTTAGAAACACCACAAATGAATTAAATAATCATAGACGCTGAGAGGGTGGCTGGTTTGTCTAGTGATGATTTTTCACCCACTACATGTACAGAAAAAAAGTTACCCTTCTTTCGAAGTAGTCATCGTAGTTCAAGGTAAACACATAGTTCAGCTATGTCCTGGGTGGTATCGACAATGAACTGCTTCGATACGGTATCTGATAACTCCTTTTCAACTATCGTGTTCATCTTTACGATTGTCGCCCACGTGTTAACTGCAGAGAATTCTAACATTCCTTCAAATACCAGAACGGAATCGATCTATGATTCTATGGTAACCACCGAGTGGGTTACCGAGCCTTTAACAGAATCTCAGAGAACTAATATCCCAACATCTATTCCAAAGAATTCATCAGTTTCATTACCCGATCTTAGACATATAACCTCTTCGTATTCAGCTGATACCACAGTCAACATATACATCTCTAACGGCCACAATACTGCAGACATATCCGCAGAGAAAGTTTCAGGTGAACAACTTGGTATTCCGTCTAAGGCGCACACACGTACCAGCACAGCAGCACATGCCGAAAGAGGGTCAAACACACGTACCAGCACAGCAGCAGATGGCGAAAGAGGGTCAAACACACGTAGCAGCACAGCAGCACACGCCGAAAGAGGGTCAAACACACGTACCAGCACAGCAGCACATGCCGAAAGAGGGTCAAACACACGTACCAGCACAGCAGCAGATGGCGAAAGAGGGTCAAACACACGTACCAGCACAGCAGCACATGCCGAAAGAAGGTCAAACACACGTACCAGCACAGCAGCACATGCCGAAAGAGGGTCAAACACACGTACCAGCACAGCAGCACATGCAGAAAGAGGGTCGATGTCAGTATACGATGGTGCTGTGAGCAGTGCTTCAGAATATTCAAACCGGAACTCATTGGGACACACATCTGATTTCCGAAGTGTGTTATATCATGTGATCAGTGATGTAACAACTAATAATAATAATAAAAATAATAATAATATGACATCTTTATTAATTGATTATTTATCAAAACAGTTTGGGATTACTCCATCAGAATATGATCCAGCGTATTCTGCTTTATCACATAAGCATACTACATCAGATAAGCATACTACATCAGATAATAGCGTGTCGTCTGCTGGTACACATGTTTTACCCGCTTTCGAGCGTAAATCACTGGATGCCTCATGGAAGACCACTATAGTACCCTCAGTTCAGGTGGTGATCTCTTCTTTCCAAAGAAGTTTTAGTGTTCTATCCCAGATTCTGAGAAGAATGTTTCGAGCGGATTCCAAAGTCAAACCTGAACCTCACTCAAAAGTCGTTCCAGTAAAATTAACGAATATGCTACGAAAGAAAATAAAAAGATCAAATTTCCATGAAGACCTTTCTGAGCTTAGCCAATCTTCAAAGACCCCCACAAATAAACTGAGCGACAGAATCAATACGCCACCAAATGTGCCCGAACTTCCAGCTTCTACGGTAAACCCTCTTCAGAACTCCGACTTACTTCAACGAGAACAGAATAAAACTCCTTTCAGTACTGACAAGCCAGCTGGACATGACCAAGCTAATTCTGGAGGTTCTTTAGGGACACTGGATTTACCAAGCTCAAGCCCGTTTATCAATTCCAGCCTTGAAAAGAATCTGCTGTCGTGGTTCGGCGGCGCTTCCGTAGTCTTCGGAGTGACTCACAGCAACACATCTGGCGGGAATGTGAGCAGTTCTGTACATGACAACAGAACAACGCTAGCCTTGGTAGCTTCTGATGGTCAGATGCCCTGTAATGACGACTGCAGTGGACGCCGGGGAGTTTGCGTCATGGGTAACGATTTCAAGATGCACTGCGTTGTTGTCGACGACGCCTGCGAGCAGTTTCCATGTGTGAATGGAGGGTAAGTACACTCGTCAATTTTAGAGTGTGGATTCTCGTTTACATAAAGTTTTCCCCGTGTCGGTTCCAGGGCCTCATTTACAAGGGAGGGAAGACATACTGCCCCAGTATCAAGCATGACGTATAAGGCAACAAATTATGGGTGTTTCCCTCGAAGTCAGAGTATATCTACCGGCGAGGCAAAGAATCAACAGTCTGAAAAAAAAATAATAAAGCAAAATCTGTTAAACGGAATTGCACGTTAAACTAAAGTTCTGGAACAAGACCAAAATTCAGAAGTGGGCGAACAACCAGGACTTTCCACTGAAGTTTACAGCCGATGAACGCTAAGGAGAAGAGAAGAAGACATAAAGTGTCTGAGTTTAGTGTGCAACTGTGCCTACATAGAGTGCGAGTATGTAACTGTGCCTACATAGAGTGCGAGTATGCAACTGTGCCTACATATAGTGCGAGAGTGTGTAACTGTGCCTACATATAGTGCGAGTGTGTAACTGTGCCTACATATAGTGCGAGAGTGTGTAACTGTGCCTGCATAGAGTGCGAGTATGTAACTGTGCCTACATATCGTGCGAGAATGTGTAACTGTGCCTACATATAGTGCGAGTGTGTAACTGTGCCTATATAGAGTGGAGCGTGTGTAACTGTGCCTACATATAGTGCGAGTGTGTAACTGTGCCTATATAGAGTGGAGCGTGTGTAACTGTGCCTACATATAGTGCGAGTGTGTAACTGTGCCTATATAGAGTGGAGCGTGTGTAACTGTGCCTACATATAGTGCGAGAGTGTGTAACTGTGCCTACATATAGTGCGAGAGTGTGTAACTGTGCCTACATAGAGTGTCACAGTATGTAACTGGACCTACATAGACTGCGAGAGTGTGTTATTGGGCCTACATAGATTTGAGTGTGTTTAGCTGTGCCTACATAGAGTGCGAGAGTGTGTAACTGGGCCTACATATAGTGGAGTGTGTGTAGCTGAGCCTGCATAGAGTGGGAGAGTGTGTAGCTGAGCCTGCATATAGTGGAGTGTGTGTAACTGTGCCTACATAGTGTGAGAGAGTGTAACTGTGCCTACATATAGTGCGAGTGTGTGTAACTGTGCCTACATAGAGTGCAAGAGTGTGTAACTGTGCCTACATAGAATGTAGAGTCTGTAACTGGGTCTACATAGAGTGCGAGAGTGTGTAACTATGCCTAAATATAGTGCGAGTGTGTAACTGTGCCTAGATAGAGTTGAGAGTGTGTGACTGTGCCTACATAGAGTGCGACAGTATGTAACTGGGCGTACATAGAGTGCGAGAGTGCGTAACTGGGCCTACATATAGGGGAGTGTGTGTAGCTGTGCCTACATAGAAGGCGAGAGTGGAGTGAGTCTGCATAAACACGTACCTGGCGGAAAGTAAGTGGTGCGGTTAACTGTAGAGTTTGAAAGTGGCAGCAAGTAGCCACATGTAAACATAGGCGCCACAACCAAAAGGTTCAAGCCGCTCTAAACCCCGGTGCCTGTAGCAGGGTTAAGCGCTATCCCCGTTCCTCTATAATTTTATGAGGGCGACTAACAGGTCTCTTTAGACGCTGTGGTGTAGCGGCTAGATGCTGGCTTGCCGATCACAAAGTCGTTGGGGACTTTTGTTTTTCAGAAATGACCTTGGCTCTCAGGTCGACCAAGTCTTGAGTGGGTACCAGGTGCAGTCCTAGGAAGTAAAGGCGGTCTGTGGTGCTGATCACATCACTCACTAAGTGCCGACTGGTCTATAAAATATAGGTCTAGCCCTTAATGCACGATACGTCTGAAGTAGGAAAGGGTCCTTTACTTTTTACTGTAACAGGCCCCTCTAGAAATGTAAGTAAAATCTGGCTCTCCTCCGAATAACGGTCCCAAATGATTGAGGCTAAGAAAATGCCCTAACAGGGCCTCAGTTATATGAAAATTAAAGCAGATTTTCGGACACTATTATAACTTTTGTGCCAGAATTTCCACATTTATGCTTTAATTATTGGTAAGTATTAAAAAAATGACTTTTACTCCCAGATCAACCCAGCCTTGAGTGGGTACAGAGTGCAGTCCTGGGAAGTAAAAGCGCCCGGCGTTATACTGACCACATCACCCATCTTTTGCCGATTGGTCTGTAAAAAAATATAGGTCTAGCCCTATATGCCCTATACGCCTAGAGGCGTGGAAAAGGAACCTTTACTTTTCATGGAACAGAAATGCTCATTTAAAGAAACCTTTATTGGTGGACATAAAAGACTGAGGCCAGTAATTCCACGGGAAATGGAGTCGCATGAAATTCAGGTTCGAACTGGGATATTGGAAAGCTGCGACGATGTTCCAGGAGAAAATGGCACGCAAACATTTAAATAAATGTCTAATTGTGCACATGAAAAAATGTGGATTTTTGTGTCCGTAACAAAAGACGTTTCCGAAAGCTAACATTAATACAATATCCGGTTGTTGTTTTTCTTTTCATTGGGGAAACACAATAGATCCTCATTATCATGTAGTGTAGCAGGTCCTTTGCAGAACGTCTCTCTCATCACAGTCTGCCTGAAAGAAACTCGGTCTCTCGCCTGTTCTCCGGCCTCATGCACTTTCACACTCAAGGAGTCACTTATATCCTGTGCCCATCTTCGTGTCGGTCGGCCTCTGCCCCTCCTTCCTGGTACCATGCCTTCTGCTATAATTTTTTTTTTCCAAACCGTCGTGGCGCTTGATATGACCAAAATATTTCAGCTTTCGAGAAAGAATGCTGTTTATTAGCCAATCTTCCTTGATGTTCAGATCTTTCAAGATGTCAATATTTCTCATCTTCTTTGTCCAAGATATTCTGAGAATCTTACACGATATATATATATTTAACAAATACATTCAGTGCAACATAACTGTCTTTTATGGTTATCCCTAAGATGTGTGGCCACAGATGGACTCTACAAGTGTGAGTGCCACGGCGGCTGGGTGGGCACGTTCTGCGACACCCAGTGTACTCTGGATTGTGGCGACAATGGCTACTGTGGCAGCTTTGACGACAACGACACCGTTGCTTGCATCTGTCACTGGAATTATACGGGGTATCGATGCCAGGACAAAAGAAAGATTCTTAATGGTATTATCGGTAAGTGGGAGCTTGCATTACTGACACATGCTAACTGTTTTGTCCTGTCCAAATACTTAGTCCAATACAACAAAACAATACGGACAATCTTAACTGAATACTTAGGGGGAACTAGCTAATGAACAGGTATCGTTTAGGGGGGGGGTGGATCCATACTGCCCCTAGCAAGCAGGTATCAACAGTCGACTACTTTTGGATGTTTCCTTCGAAGTTGGAGTACATTTACCTGGGAGACCAGAAACCAACAATCTGCCTTTAAAAAAGCTAGATCTGTAAAACTGATGTGCACACAAAACCTAAGCTTTAGAGTAAGAGTAACCAAAACTTTCTGCCAAAATTTACAGCCTGTGAAGAAAAAGAAGAAGAAGAAGAAGAAGAAGAAGAAGAAGAAGAAGAAGAAGAAGAAGAAGAAGAAGAAGAAGAAGAAGAAGAAGAAGAAGAAGAAGAAGAAGAAGAAGAAGAAGAAGAAGAAGAAGAAGAAGAAGAAGAAGAAGTTCGAGTGACGTCCCTTGTCGCAACGACTCACCTGCATACCCACCCACCCAATTCTCTGAGTGACTTCCTGTTATATCCTACACCGACCGTGTAGCCAGTGCCCTTGCATGCAGGATACACCTGGCCTAAACATTGTTCCAGACAAACAAACAAAAGCGAACCTAATAAAAGCTAATGATAATAATAATAATAATAATAATAATAATAATAATAATAATAATAATAATAATAATAGGAATAATAATAATAATCAAGGCATGCCTATTGTTAACCCACTGTTGTTACTGTTTCTGGTTTTTTGTGTACTGATAATAGTCGCCGGAGCTACGAAGATCGTGCTCTGTGCGACGCACTCGGTAGGCAGCTAGGTGTTCTGCGGAGAGAGAGTGAGCCATATAGGGTAAAACCCGGTGCAGTGAAGTCAATCCTCTCACCTTCACCTTTACCTTTACCTTTACACCCCCCTCCCTTTTTTTAGCTTTTTGTTTTTTTTTTAACTGACAGATGGGTCGAAGGTTGTTTAGTCCAATGTTCCCATTGTTATTCCCATTCTGCACGAAGAACATCTAGCTGAATGTGTCAGCCCAGTGCAGCTTTGCAAGGGCGCCATGTTGTTCTGTGAGGCAGTACGGGAAAGCACAGCGACGAAGACAAATGACCATCTAGGCTTGTATTTCTGTGTCCTGGTGAATGTTAAATTCTCTGCATTTCCCAACCTTGTCGCGTTTAGTTAACGCAAGTAACAGTACTCTAGCTACAAGTTAAGAAAATATGACCTGTGTTCGACCGTTAGAATCTAAGAAAGTTAGCCCAGTGACATGGTTCTCTGAAATGATGCGCGCCCCCCCCCCCCCCACCACCCACACACAAACACACAATTATGTTTTATTGGGTGCCGGCACCCGTTAATCTGCAAAGGGGCTAAACTTCCGACTGCACTTATCTTTTGAGTACATGTGTGTGTGTGTATGTGTGTTTGTGTGTGTGTGCGGGTGCGAGTGCTGGTGCGTGTATGTTTGTGTGCGTTTGTGTGTGTGTATGTGTGTGTGTGTGTGTGTGAATGGTTCAAGTAACGTTTTCCATTGCAGAGTGAGAGTGGCTTAACTTCCTATTCATGTCTCGTCGCGTCGCAGGGCCTCTCCTGTGTTGCAGGGGTGTTATGAAATGGCTTGGTTCGGCGTTCGCTCAGCGCATATGATGTTTGTAGGAGGTTATGTTGTTGTAAGTCTCTTTGAGGCGCCACATGCACCCGTGTACAAGTAAGAAGTACTGTAGGGGAAGAGCAGCAGTCGCGACGATTCGTGAGTATCGAAACTGTTAGGCTTTTCTATTTCTACGTTCGTTGGCGGTAACTTTCCCCTCCCCGAGACAGAGAAGACACTGGAAAGGATCGTAGGAAAAGAAAACGATCGCAGTTTTGATACCGTCGCGCAGGTAGGAGAACATAAAAATAATCGCGCAAGTGAGCAGCGAGACGACGAGAAAAAAGAGAGCAGTTGAAGCTTTAACAATTAGGAAAACATAACCCCCCCCCCCCCCCCCCCCGCCCGCAACATGGGAGACGCCTTGCGACGCGACGCGACAGGGCATGAATGGGAAGGAAAGTCACTCTCTTTCTGTTGCGAAAAAATTACTTGAACTATATATATTATGCTGTAAGCTGCGGAGGAAAGTCCTGGTTGAACGACCATTTGGATTTTTTCCAGTGCCTGAGTTTTGCGTGTAGACTCGTTTTACTGACCTAATTGTGAGCATTCGGTTGTTCCGTGCCGCTCGGACAGACGCACTCCGACTTCGAATGAAGCTCCTAATTGGTCTACTCCTACGACATGTTTGTCGGAAAGCCACTGTGTTTATTTTCTCCGCTATGGGGCCCTGGAACCTACACGGAGCGTATATTGTTATATTTACTTAAAGCTCAGCACATTATTATTTATTAAATTTTTGTTATCTAATTATTATTAAGTCTTTAAACAAGGCTTAGGTCTCTTGAGGACACAATCACCTCCCCTTCTCAGTTTTCTTTGTGTCAGCGCGCCTGTGGTAGAGTATTCACAAGATGGTCCAGAGCACTTTTGGTTTTTGCACGCTTGGTACAGAGATTGTGGTGAATCTCAATGCTCCGGAGATTAGCACAGAGATTGTGGTGAATCTCGATGCTCCGGAGATTAGCAAAGAGATTGTGGTGAATCTCGATGCTCCAGAGATTAGCACAGAGATTGTGGTAAATCTCGATGCTCCAGAGATTAGCACAGAGATTGTGGTGAATCTCAATGCTCCAGAGATTAGCACAGAGATTGTGGTGAATCTCAATGCTCCGGAGATTAGCACAGAGATTGTGGTAAATCTCAATACTCCGGAGATTAGCACAGAGATTGTGGTGAATCTCAATGCTCCGGAGATTCGCACAGAGATTGTGGTGAATCGCAATGCTGCGGAGATTAGCACAGAGATTGTGGTGAATCGCAATGCTCCGGAGACTGGTACAGAGATTGTGGCGCTCCAGAGATTAGCACAGACTGTGATGAATCTCAATGCTCCGGAGATTAGCTCAGAGATTGTGGTGAACCTCGGCGCTCCAGAGATTATTACAGGGATTGCTGTGAATGTTGAATGTTGAACTGAGAATCGACATCACAGCACTCATAACTCTTCAAAAAGTGCTCAGTCTCCCGCTCCAGACATTAGTACAGCGACTGTCGTGAATCTCAATGCTCCAGAATAGGTTTAAAGAAATGAATAGAAGTTCTCTTTTAAATTTCTAGTTTATGCATATATTATTTCAAATACTAGATTTATTTGCCTTTCAGCAATGATAATAATATTTATTATTAAGAACTCAAACAAGGCTTACATCCCTTGGGCTCCAACCCCTACAAAATAAATATGGGGTTGGAACCTCCACTCTTACCCCGGCTCCCGACCCCTTCCCCTGCCCCAAACTCTCCTTCATGTTCTCTTAGTGTCTCTGCCACTGTATTTACCACAATAGCACCAGTGACATTACTATCTCGTTATATCTCCACAGAGTTTCCCGCCAACAATCAAGACCTGCAGGTGTGGCACATCGCTGTAGTGGTTACCATGGTAACCAGTTGTCTGGCCCTGATCTGTGTACTTCTGCCCTACTTGTTGTGGAGACGCCGGTGGATTCCCATCCGGAAGTTGATCTTCTACTTCCAGGACTACGAAGATGATGGTAAGTTCCCATGGAAACCGCTGCTGTGTGTTTAATATGTTAATTAGAGAGGTAAAGAGAGCATTCAATGCCCTTTTTTGCAAGCGTGTCGTAAAAGGTGACTAATGAATGGTTTGTTAAAATTAATTTTTTTCGGCCAAAGGCGCAGATATCGCTGTCCAGCTGTAAAACGCAACGTAATGGGTTTTGATTTCCTGTAAATGCCAAAGAAGAAGAAGAAGAAGAAGAAGAAGAAGAAGAAGAAGAAGAAGAAGAAGAAGAAGAAGAAGAAGAAGAAGAAGAAGAAGAAGAAGAAGAAAAAGAAGAAAAAGAAGAAGAAGAAGAAGAAGAAGAAGAAGAAGAAGAAGAAGAAGAAGAAGAAGAAGAAGAAGAAGAAGAAGAAGAAGAAGACGAAGAAGAAGAAGATGAAGATAATGATGAAGAAGAAGAAGAAGAATAAGAAGATTTGACCACTTCTGATGCTGACGTCGAACTCTCCTGCCAGTTCTGACATATCGTCCTCTGATATATGCAGCATATCAGCATACTGGATGCCGTCAGCGCCTGGTGAGGCGTTGGTCGTATGGTCTCAGTTGTAATACTGTAATCATCACTTAGTTTTGCTTTTTAACACTACTCTGAAAGTGTTGACTTCTCAGTCTGGCTGCCTCATCTTTCTGGTCGGTTTGCTTCAAGTGGCGCTGAAGGAAAGCCTGTCCTTCATCTGCATCAGAATTTTGTCATGTCAGATCTGCGCTTTGAAAGTCTGGAATACCCCGACGTCGTGTGGTGCCATTCATTGCCCGATAAAGTCGCCAAAATGTGGCAAGAGACTCTTCAGAGCACACCTTCTTACAGTAATCGCCCCATTTCTCATTCTTGACCTGCTTTGCGACAGCTTGAAAGCCACCGTCGTCTTATTGACTTTATCTTTCCTATATTGATTATGAAAGTGAATTATGGACAGTTGGTAAATTAGTTAAAACTAAGTTGGAAGCTGCGGAGATGTGGTTTTAAATAAGAATGAGGAGAATACCATAGACAGATAAAAAGAGTAATGAAGACGGCTTGAAAGAAACTGGTACACGAAGAAAACTGATTGCGCACATCAGAAAGAGAAAATCCACATTCTTTGGTCATGTGATGAGAAGGAGAAATCTGGTGTACATCGTGACAGTGGAAAGTTGGAGGGAAAGAGAGAAGAAGGAGACTGGGAGAAAAGATTCTGGACAGTCTGACATCATGGCATGGATGATCATCTGTGTCAGAATGTGCACGCTACAGAATGTTGTGAATGCAGTATGAGTACCAACGCCATACGGCGTGGACTTTAAGAAGAAGAAGATGTTGAGGCCGATGTCTACAACAGGATAATATGTGTGAATGTGGGACAGGATTGATAATTGTATTGAGTTGGATCTAATGGACAAAAACCATGCTGAGTGAATGGAGCAAAGCAGAAAGGAAATGAAAGTAAGGTTTAAAAAAAAAAAAACGAATGCAGAAAGGTTGACAGCTAAGCGTCTGAGAAAGAACATACTAAGACATGTGTTGGCAAGAAAGCTCATAAAATCTTATGCTCTGTTTATGGAAGACTTTTCTTAACGCGGACGGGTCTTGCTAGTCATACTCGCCTTTACCATGGGCTGTGTGTCCCATGCCTCTTCATATCACAATATAAAACTGTCGCCTGGAAAGACGGAAAGGTGCCAACTATATGACTGTGACACTTTTTCTTCTAGATGAGAAAGAGTTTGACGCCTTCATCTCCTACAAGTCGACGCCAAAAGACGAGAAGTTCATACTGCAACATCTGTACCCGAAACTGGAGAAAGAGTTGCACTTCAAGTTGTGTCTTCATTTCCGGGATTTCCCACCAGGCGAACGTAAGTAATTTTGATAAATTAGCCTGTATGCATCAATTCCTGGGCTTTTGAATAGCACTTTTTGAATTAATTTTTAAACAAACAGTGGATGCACTTCTTAGTTCTTTCTTACTTCCATTCACAAGTGAAAATAATGTTTTATAGCCATGTAAATGTCCTCTCTAATGCACGTCAGGTATATGGTAATCAGATTATCATGTAACCACAGTTTCGACTTCATAAAAAATGGGTCACCTAATAGTTGCTCCTTTTCTGTACCAACGAATACCTCACATAATGTCCATCACTGTCCCTTGTGAGGAAACAATGCACACACGGCAGTCTTGGAAAGTCCATTAGCGTACACGCGCATTAAATGCACAAGACAGACGTCAGAAGTGCCAACACAAACAGTCTGACACTAGAAGCCCAGTTTGTCGTTGATGGGAGCAGCAGTTACAACATATTAATAGTTGCACACGCGATTAACTATATAAGGCACCACTAGTTCTGTGGCAACCAACCACTACCCATTTTCTGAATCTGCAGTTTACAACACAGATCATGTTGAACACAGCTGAAAAGTATTTTAAATGAAATCTGCAGCGTATAGTGCTGTGCCATGCACTCAGCTCATTAGCTGGGCAACGAAACGAAATATTTTCAATCCACAACTGTTGCGAGAAACTATTGTCAGGTAGAAAAGCATATCACGACTAAAAACAGCAAGTCTGCCTGTCCTCCATATGGACCGGAATCCAGCATTGCGCTTCCACGGTTCCATATCCAGCAGCGAACACCACACCATACATGAGTTAACCATCAGCCATTTTCCTAAAGGAGAATAACTGTTTGCTTCATTGTGACGCGTGTGTGGACTCTACAAATAAACTCCTACAGTTAATCTGCTGAGCTATCTCCTACCCAATGAGCTATGACACGTGAAGAAACAAATTGAAGCAACGCCGAACTCCAAGTTGTTGGCGCTAAAAGACACTAAAATAAAATAGTTGAATTTATTCCTTCCTTCCTTCATTCCATGTTTGTCCTTGCAATTTGCTACCCTGGCAGTTTTGACCATCTAGGATGTAAAGAAAAAATCGTATTCTGGATGTCAAGTCAACCAACATAGTAAGTACTAGATAAACAAGCTCAAGCTTCAGAGACGTTATAACAGAATCACCTATAAGGGCTGCACCCAGGTGGTGAGTGAGTAAATGAGTTTTACCCCACCATTACATCACACAGAGCGATAAACACTCGATGACACAAAGTGCCACCATGCAGATGAGGATCACCCGTAGAGAGGTACTGGAAACCCCGTTCAGCCGTTATGCTATATTTAGGGTCCCTGGCAAAAGCCAGGGTGGGGCTTCAAAATAACAAAGGGTGACGATTGACTGACTGACTGACTTTCTACCCCACCAGGACATCACACAAGCGATAAACACCCGATGACACAAAGTGCCACCATGTGGATGAGGATCGCCGTGGAGAGGTCCCAGAAACCGCGTTCAGACATTTGGCCATATTTATGGCCTGCCTATATTGCGGCCCCTAGCAAAAGCCAGGGTGGGGCTTCAAATAACAAAAAATTATGAGGGTGACGATTGTTAGGCTAATAAAACCTAACTGGTGTAATCGGCGGTCCGGTGAAGATTTCATAATGAAAACATATCTGATGACATACTCATTAAAGATGGCGTAACATGCAGAAGACGAAGAAGAAGTTGATTATGATGGTAATGTTACTGATAAACCTTTGTAACACAATAATCAAATATATAATCAACCGTTCAATTGTTTCTTTTCAGCGATAGCAAACAACATCATCCGAGCAATCGAAGGCAGCAGACGGACTATCCTGATTCTCTCCCCTAGCTTCGTCTCCTCTGAATGGTGCCGCATGGAATACCAGAAAGCCCAATACGAGATGCTGAAACTAAAACACAAGATTATCCCCATAATCCTTGAAGACATCAGCGGCATGCCTGAAATCGACAGAAACCTCCAAAACATCATGAATACCGTCACATACATCACCTGGCCAGGCGACGAGGGCTCAGTTTCCAGTAAAAGAATCTCAAAATTCTGGACTCTTCTAGAACTATCCATGCCGAAACGAAAGTCGGAATACCAACGTACTTCCTCCTGCGGCAGTATGTCTCTAACAAATGTTGACAGCGTGGTGTCTTCTATCAGTGAGGATGATTCCCCTGCAAATTCTTCTAGGGATGATGTATCTGTTTCTGTAAACAGCATCTCCAGTACTGACAACTCTGAGATCTCACAGGAATCGCCAAGCTCTTCCTTAGACTTTCCTTACTGTCCTATGTTTCAAGATGGCGTAAAAAAAGCGAGTCGTGTAAATTCTGGAAGTGAAAATTTTGGCAAAGAAACAAATATAAATGTGTCAGTGTTTAATGAAACTATTGATGGAATCGTGAAACACAGAAAGACATCTTTGGGAGAGTATGATAATTGTGGATTACAGGCAATTCCAAAGGAAGATAATGAATATCAGGGAAAAGAACAAAAATCGGTATTTCTTTCCAGTGATGACTATATTGTTGAGATTCGAGAGACCGGCATGTTCATGAACGGTGTTCGAATCAAACACAGACCACGTCAGATGTTTGTGTGAGTGCATGGTGGTCTAATTTGTTTTGGTAAAAAGCTGACAATAATTCTTACAGCAAGCCTGAACATTGAGAAAAACCATTACTTTCAGAGCACTTGCTTAGGCAGCAGAAAAAGTAGGTGGGTATTAAGGAATTGTGCCAGACTCCATGAACATGCTTCAGAAAACTGGAACAGGTAGCGTCCGCTCTGAATGGGTAGAAAGCATTTGGAAATCACGCTCAACTTCTCTCACAGATGGAAGTTTGGAAGGGCCGAATGTAAGACAGGCCTGCGTGCCTAATTTGTAACCCTTTGAAAATAAAGTTCGTTCGTTCGTTCGTTCACATAGATCTACACGCAAAGGCCGGGGTGAATTGCTGGTTAACCAAGTAGCAATTAATGTACCATCGCGTGTGGAAACAAGCATGGGCGGAGTTAAAGTCATCAACGCTGTATGCACTTGGCTTGTGGGTAATGACAATCTGTGACACCAACACTGCTGCGTGACCTGGGAGTAAAGCAAGGTGAAACACGTCAGTGCCGTCTTCAAGATAAGATAGAAGACAATATAGACAACTTCCCATAGAAACAGATAATTAATGTAGCTTGGAGTGGCCGTTGCATTGGAGAATATAACCCAGTGTGCAGTGACGTAATTACTGATAACATAACATAGCCTTGAGTAATGTTTAGCCTATTCTTTCTGAATAAATTATTACTTAAGGTAATTGATGTTATGTTTTATAGAGTTATTGAAACCAGTTGTCAATAGACAAGGGACCCTTTAACAACAGGGAAACGGTGCAGCTTGCAAATATTCTCTTAATGATAAAAATAAGGGTGACTGTAGCCAAGCTAATAATACAAAGAATACTCTCCCCTTTGTTATTGTTGTGTAGTTGGTTCATGTCGAGAAAGACCCTGGTCGAAATGTCTATTTATGTGTTTTATGCACGTTGTTCTGCCTTCCCATTTTGCTAAGCTTTTTAGATACATTGAACTGAAAATATTCTTGAAGCAACTTCCTTACCTGCACAGGACTGCAAGTTACACCAGGTCTGATTCGCTGAATTTCCTTGGAGGTTGAACCGAGTATCTAGGCGTTGGTCTGCCACCAGCACTGAGATTTGTTTAGTCTCATGGTGTCAAACCTTTAGATCTTTTTAGTTTGCCATCCAGACTGAGGTCTTCTGATCTCAGGCTATCAAATGTTTCAGGCGACAGTTCGGAGTGGATAGATGCACTTATACACGCACGTAACAAGCAATAGTGTGGGTGCGTAATAAGATCTACTATTCTTACACTCTATTTCTCTTTCTATGTCACTCTCTGTCTCTCTCTGTCTCTGACTCTCTCTCTCTCTCTCTCTCTCTCTCTCTCTCTCTCTCTCTCTCTCTCTCTCTCTCTCTCTAAGTGTATATTTATAATTTATATATGTCTATATTAGATCACCTAATTACTATTGACTGTTTGATCAGGTCTATGCATTTCTAGCAGTCAGATTCCACTGGATTCAATGTTTTCGTTTTTAAAGCCCATCTAATCACAAACAGGTTGCAGTGGACCAAAAGGTGAATAAAAGACGCTGGCGTTGAATATGACACACACATGAGAAAACCCGAGAACGACATAACTAGAATATATTTGCACTGGAGCCCACAGTGGCATATAAATAAATTACGACAGAAAAAATAAAACATAGAGATGGGAGCTAGAAAGTGAAATAGAAAAGATGGGGGGAGGGGGGGGACATGGGGAGAGCTGCATGCGATAGTGAAGGATAGACTCACTTGGCGTGAGTTGATTGAGGAAGAAGAAGGAGAAGAAGAAGAAGAAGAAGAAGAAGAAGAAGAAGAAGAAGAAGAAGAAGAAGAAGAAGAAGAAGAAGAAGAAGAAGAAGAAGAAGAAGAAGAAGAAGAAGAAGAAGAAGAAGAAGAAGAAGAAGAAGAAGAAGAAGAAGAAGAAGAAGAAGAAGAAGAAGAAGAAGAAGAGAGGAAGAAGAAGAAGAAGAAGAAGAAGAAGAAGAAGAAGAAGAAGAAGAAGAAGAAGAAGAAGAAGAAGAAGAAGAAGAAGAAGAAGAAGAAAAAAAAGAAGAAGAAGAAGAAGAAGAAGAAGAAGAAGAAGAAGAAGAAGAAGAAGAAGAAGAAGAAGAAGAAGAAGAAGAAGAAGAAAAAGAAAAAGAAAAAGAAGAAAAAGAAGAAGAAGAAGAAGAAGAAGAAGAAGAAGAAGAAGAAGAAGAAGAAGAAGAAGAAGAAGAAGAAGAAGAAGAAGAAGAACTTTGTTTTTGACGTTAAGAATTTTTGATTTGTGTGTGTGTGGGGGGGGGGGTGTATGTGTGTGAGAGAAAGAGGGAGAGAGAGAGAGAGAAAGAGAGAGAGAGAGATAGAGAGAGAGAAAGATCCAATGTACTTCAGTAGAACTTACCTGCAAAGTCCTACTTCAGTTTTTTTTAGCTTTGTCTTCTGATCCGAAGGCTTCTGCAGCCTGCTTTGTTCAAAATTTACTAGTGTTACCTTTACTTTGGAGTAAAAAAAGCAGGTCGAATGGTAGATGGTGATGCAAGGGCAACACACGGAGAGGGAGAGCTAGGACTGTTATTAAAGCAGTCGGGCCTTGCTAGTCACACTCGCCATCGCCATGGACTGTGAGTCCAATGCTTTCTCATAACACAATGTAATACTATCGTCCTGGAAAGATAGAAAGTTACCAACAGTTAGCTACTCAATTTTATCGAACAATTAAAAACACTCATTTTTTAGTGACTTTTCTTTAGATACCTGATAACGAATTCTGTGAAACAATTATTAGTACCATCATGGTAGCTCTACTTAATTAATTCCAACATGTGAGGTAGCCCCAACCAATCCTTGTAGAAGCAGTACATTTTACCCCACTAGGACATCACACAAGCGATAAACACCCGATGACACAAAGTGCCACCATGTGGATGACGATCAGCCGTGGAAAGGTCCCGGAAACCGTGTTCAGCTATTAGACCATATTTATGGTCAGGTTATACTGCAGCCCCTGGCAAGAGCCAGAGTGGGGCTTCAAAATAACGAAAAATTGCATCCCACACGGAGATGATTATTATAGCCCCAACCAATCGTGACTATCTGGGTCGTGTTGTAATGATGTCGAAAGGGGTATCTGGGATTTGTATCTTGGGGATTCTCATGGGAGAAGTCACCGATTGGTAATCGCTCAGTATGCGGTTCTTGAGCGAGAGTTGGGGAGGGGTGGGGAAGGGGAAGTTCAACTTCACTCATTCACTGACTGTCATAAATTCACACAAACTGCTTTTTAGTTTGGTTGCAAAAACAAAACAAAAAATACAAGGGAAACGATCAGAAGCTGTTAACTTAAAAATGAAACGAGGATTACTTCCCTTATATCCTTAGTGCTATTGTCAATAACTTTTTCATCGTCACTCAATGCAATATGTAAAGGACCCTTTTCCCACACTTTCAGGCATATATGGGCATATAGGGCTCATCATCATGTAGCAGGTCGATTACAGAACGTCGCTCTCATCACGGTCTGCCTGAAAGAAACTCTCCGTGTAGGTTGGCCTCTGCCCCTTCTTCCTGGAAACATGCTTTCTGTTATTATTTTTTTCCAATCCGTCTTGACGCTTGATATGACCTAAACATTTCGGCTTCCAAGATATGATGTTGTTTATTAGCCAATCTTCTTTTATGGTGAGATCTTTCAAAATATCAGTATTTCTTCTCTTCTTTACCCATGGTATTCTCAGAATCGCTCTATAGTATTTCAGCCCAAAAGCCCCAATTTTCATATAGAGCTAGACAAATATTTTATAGGTCAATCGGCATATGGTAGCCGATGATGTGAGCATCACGCTAACCGACTTTACTTCCTAGGACTTTACCTGGTACCCACTCCAGGCTGGGTCGACCCAGGACCCAAAGTCATTTTGTTAATAAAGTGTGGTTCTGTCAGGACCCGTCCCGCAGGCGAGCGTCAAGTCACTACCACCGCGACCACATCCATTCTAATATGGGATCCCAGAAATATCCTTAAAGTCCACGCAGTCGATATCATGATGACCAAACCATCAGTGGAATCGCAAGTGATTAAAATTAATGTACAGTAGGGCACCTGCCAAATTTCCACATAACTAGTCACACCCTTGTGGGATGCAATTTTTCATTATTTTGAAGCCCCACTCTGGCTCTTGCCAGGGGCCGCAATATAGCCCGACCATAAATATGGCCTTATGGCTAAACGCGGTTTCAGGGACCTCTCCAAGGGTGATCCTCATCCACATGGTGGCACTTTGTGTCATCGGGTGTTTATCGCTTGTGTGATGTCCTAGTGGGGTAAAATGTACTACTACTACCTCCCAAAGAAATCGTTAGGCATATTGGGTTGAAGGGGGGGGGGGGAGGGGATCCTAGCTCCTCATCCAACTTGTAATTTTTTGTGTGCGAGGACACTCAATCAGTTTAAGTGCACAATTATTGTTCTTATTATATTACGTGCAAACAAATGTAATGGTGTTATATATTTGAAATATAAAGTTAATAAACCAATACTTCACAACGAACGTCTGTTCGTGGTCTTGCTAACTTTCTGGGGCTGTGGCTTATGGGGTTGTGGGTAATAGGGCTGTGGGTTATCGGGCTGTGGGTTATGGGGCTGTGGGTTATGGGGCTGTGGGTTATGGGGCTGTGGGTTATGGGGCTGTGGGTTATGGGGCTGTGGGTTATGGGGTTGTGGGTAATAGGGCTGTGGGTTATGGGGCTGTGGGTTATGGGGCTGTGGGTTATGGGGCTGTGGGTTATAAGTTGTGGGTTATGCGGCTGTGGGTTATGGGGTTGTAGGTTATAAGTTGTGGGTTATGCGGCTGTGGGTTATGGGGTTGTAGGTTATAAGTTGTGGGTTATGCGGCTGTGGGTTATGGGGCTGTGGGTTATGGGGCTGTGGGTTATGGGGCTGTGGGTTATGGGGCTGTGGGTTATGGGGTTGTGGGTTATGGGGTTGTGGGTTATGGGGCTG